TTTTTGAGAGGCTTTTGCTATAGGGCACGTGTGCTCGCCAGAGAGACAGAGAAAGACAGAGAGACAGAAAGTGAGAAATCACCCCCCAGGGGGGATGGCCATGCCGCAGTCCCTTCTCCTCCATTCTCCTCTCAGGATCTTGGGCATGCACGCACACGCACCCGGCGTGAGTTTAAGCCTCTGGGTCTGGGACTCGAACCGCAGTTGACTATATGTGGGAGTCCAGCAACATAGCCATTACACTAACTGCTGGCCCCAGAAAAAAATGTTTAAAATATACTTATAGTGTGGGAATCAAGAGGTTAGTTTAACATAATTTCTCAAAATTATTATTGATATTAATTAGAAATAGCGATCTTCTGAGGTGGTTCAAAGGAATATCTGAGAATAATGTAAAAACCTGAAGAATCAATATGATACAAGGAAAAAATAATTCTAAAAAGTGCAAGGCCAGGAACATTGTGTTTATTGATAGGGTGTTAAGTAGAAAGCTTTTGCTTGAATATCTCTTTGAAATATTACAAAAACCCTGAAAGGCAAGTATCACATAAATGTGATCAGTCTGACTATAAAACGTCTCAATCTTCTTTACTGTTCAAGTTGAATTTAGGAAAAGAGAAGAAAAGCAGATTGTGAAAACTAGTGAGTTATAGTTCAATGAGAATCAGAGAGAAAAAGTAGGCCAGAGTTAATTTTGAGAGTCAGCAGCATTCAGAAAGTAGAGTAGGAAGTGCATGGAGTCTTAAATCTAAAATCGGGGTTCAAGCCTTACTTAACCATGAGTCTGGGCAGCATGGTGCATCGCGGGAGATATTGTGAACTACTGAGTGAATCATGGTCTGTTGTGAGTAATATGGCCAGAAAAAATTATTTTTTCAACCTTTTAGAAAATTTTGCTGGCTGGCAAGTTAGGTTTATGCTTTATTATTTGAGCAAAGCATCCATGTTAAAAGATCTGCAGTAAAAATGAATAGAAAATATATCTCTGTAATATTGGCCCTCGCTGGGTTTCATTGAGAAGATAATACAGGTAACTTCCATTATTATTTGTATAATGACTCTCCCACCCCCTCCTATCCCATAAGCATACAATACCCATGGAAAATGTTCTGTTTATCAGCCTAAACACTTCTCTTTTTTTTCTATTTATTTTTATCATCATGTGACTGTAATTTAAATATCATGTTACTTTTACAATGCAAAAATGAATTGAGGCTATTCAACTATTATACTAAAGGCTTAGGAATCCTTAGAGACCTAAAGCTTCCAAATGCTATTTGCATTAATTTTTAATCACTTTACAATATTTACTATAAGAGAAACATAAAACAGTACAACTAAGCAATTTTAAAATCATCTACATTGACCTTTGTATTGAATATATCAATTTGAAAAAGTATAGATGGTTAAGATTTCCCACTTAAGCTTTTGGTCTTATAGCTATGCGTCACTGGAACTTAAAACCAGTATTAACACATTATTATTATTATTATTATTTTTCCCCCTGAAATGAAAAGGAACGCTTTAGAAATATGTTTAATGTTAAAAAAATATTATCTAATGTAACACATTTAAAAAGAACAAATTAGAGAAAAATCTTCATCTGACAACTATGCATGAGTACACAATAATTTCAAATTTGTGGAGTTTAGATTCTATTTAATATACATCAAGGTTAAGTGTTTTGCTCTCCTCAATTTCTACTTGCTCTGGATATTATGAGTGACATGCATCGTTTTTGATAGTGCTTATTTGAGTGCCACATAAACATGTATTGCCCCAAGTAAGGGTTATGCATAGATAGATGAATTTTCTGGTCCAAAAAGACAGTAATTTCCATATTCAAAGGAGTCTAAAAAGAGTATCCTTGGGAAACTGTAATGAATATAGTCCTGCTCCTCTCTATACAAGTTATGCTCTCTAAACATCAAACATCTCCACATCTCTATGCCTGGTGCCTGAAGTCAAGTTGTCAAAGACACATGGAATTTACAATTTTAAGAAATTCTTTGGTATGTAAATGAGTTGTTTCCTTATAAGCTGCAGAGTCCATCTCTCTTACAATGTTCTTTAAATATTATGTTGAAATATATACAGTTTAGATATTTT